TTCCTTCCCATTCTCTAAAAATAAATAAATAAAATCTTAAAGAAGAATTTAAAAAAATCTCATTTTCTGGATTGTTTTCCTGCTTTTCTTCAATGTTTATTATATTCATACTCTTATCTATTATTCAGTGGGAACCTTATAATTTACTCTTCATTCCTGGTATCACTTTGTCTCATCCTTCTTTTTTCTCTAACTTTATTTCTTCCTGCTTTTTTGTCCCTTTCCATACTATTTTTATATTTCTGATTCAAGGTTCTTTTTCCCCCCTCCATAGTTGAAATGATTTGATTCACACTGTTTTTTTCTCTCTTAACTGTTCTCTATGGACACAGTCCATTCTTTTCTCTTTCAACTCATTTCATGGTTAGAGTTCCTAGTTCACCAATGCATATTAAAGTTTGCTTTCTCCTTTTCCTGAGGCATTGTTAGTTTTTTCCCTCTTCTTTCTCTTCACTGCCATTTCTCCAAGTCTCCATGTTTTTGCCCCTTCCCTATGAAATGGTGCTTGTAATTTAAGGCTACCAATTCTGGTAGTTTACTTTTAAGCTCTTCTCTGTGGTTAGAGAAAAGAGCAGAGAACTATCAACTTTCAAATCTGTATTCAGTATTTTGGAACTCAGTATTGGAATTTTCTCTTTTGGAAGTGGTCTTTTGTGTTTCATCTAAGTCTTCCATGCCCCGAAACTCTTCCAATGAACCTGTTAAGCCTTTCTTCTCCCACCCTTCATACCCATAGGAATGAGCAGAAGAAGCTCTTAGAATATGATTTATTTCTCTACTTAGAGGTTATTTGAAGGTTATGATAATCTGTTTCTTAATAACGCTGAAGGCATGGGTAGTGTGTGATTTATATGTACCTTTTGTTGGTTTTATAGATTTATAGAAAGGTGGGTGGGAAAACTGGATCAGGCCAGACCTGGAAGTCTACATACACATATTTAAACAGTATATTAGAATATGTTATCTTAGAAATATTGCTTTTGTCAATTTCTGAAACACTTCACCTGTCATTAGATTCACTTTTTGTATCATCTATACAGTTTTCCAGAGTAAGCCATCTTCATTTACATCTAATCTGGTTCAGAAACATGGTTTGATCTATAGGAGTTTATTTGTAAATTCTATAATAACCTCTGTTAGGCATAGTCTAAGCACTTAATGTGTAGTGATGTACTTAATCCTTACAAATATTATTACTCCCATTTTACAGATGAGGAAGTGGAGGCTCCAAGAGGCTAAGCAACTTGCCCAAGGTCATATGGCTAAAATGAACACTAGCAATATGAATCAAGGGAATCATCTTAAATATGGGTTAAATTTTAACTGCTTTTCTCTTTTTCTCTTAAGTATGGTTCTGTTAGCTAACTTCTGAAAGCTTTGAAAACAAGCATCAAATACAACTGTTTCAGGTAATATGCCTGTCTGAACACTTTGCTCTTCAAAACAAAGCTGAAAAATCATGTTAGTGATTGACCTTGACTATAAGGTGATGAAATGACTGCAGGTGGGGGGAACCTCCCCTAATATTTGGGCACATATGGATACTCTTCATCCATCGCAGAGAAAGTCAAAAGAGAGACTCTAAAATTCAAACACCGAGTAATATAAAGCTAACATTTAGAGTACTGGAGATAGACACTAGACAAAAAAGCTAAAAGAACTGAAAGTGTAATAGCTGTCTCATGAGAACGCAAGTGGAAGGACTGCTGCAAGGGATACTTCTGTTGGCGTACTTTTATCCTTAACACTGTACTAACAAATGCATGCCTTTTACAAAGTAAAAGTTAATTTTTATGAGGCATAAACTACTTTTTAAAAATTCATTGCACTCATAAAAATGGAGAGATTGACGATATCTGGCATTGGCAAACTGGTGTAGGAAGGCAAATTCATGGCATCTTTTTCGAACACAATTTGACGTTACTTATGAAACCTTAAAAAAAATATGTCTTTTGACCATGCAATTCCACTTTTAGGAATCTGTCCTTCAGACGTACTCATAAAACACAAGGATCTATGTGGCACCCTGACTGGTGTGGCTCAGTCGACTGGGCGCCAGTCAGTCTGCGAACCCAAAGGTCGTTGGTTTGATTCTCAGTCAGGGCACATGCCTGGGTTGCAGGCTGGGTCCCCAGTTGGGGGCGTCTAAGAGGCAACCAACTGATGTAACCCTTCCTACTTCTTCCTCCCCTACTCTCTAAAAATAAATAAATAAAATCTTTTTTAAAAAAGAATCTACATAGAAGAATTCCTTGCAGCAATAATGTAAGAGTGAAAAACTGGAGGCAATCTAACCATAAGCAGGAGAATGATTAGTAACAGGTAAAATAGTGAGTGAAAATATAACCTGTGCCCTGGCTGGTGTGGCTCAGTGGACTGAGCGGCAGTGTGAGAACCAAAGGGTTATCAGTTTGATTCCCAGTCAGGGCACATGCCTGGGTTGAGGGAGTAGGTCCCCGGTTGGGGGCGTGCAGGAGGCAACCACACATTGATGTTTCTCTCCCTCTTTCTCCTTCCCTTCTCCTCTCTAAAAATAAAGTCTTTGAAAAAATGTAAATTGTGAAGTATGTATAGTGTGACTCATTTTTTATTAAAAAAATATATATGCTGGTTTATGCACAGATTAATATGCCTATGTTTGTTTACATACGCAGTTAGAAAGATCCTAGAAGAAACAGCTAAAACTCTGAACAGGGTGAGGATGGGATAGTAGAATGGTTTAAACCTTTTTTCATATTTTTCATTTTTAAAAATAGCAAATACATAAAACTTCTGTAATGAGAAGTAGAACAAAAAAAAGAGGCTTTTATAGTGGCAAAATGTAAGGAGTCACAAATCAGTAGAATTTCATTTTTATCTCTGTGACACCCTGATGAACCTTCCTCCCTATAAAATCTAGAAAATAATTAGAATGTACAGCTATTAACTTCTAGTACAATCAACCAAAAGTTCCAATGAAAGTATAAACTGCCTTGGCCAGTATGGTTCAGTTGGTTGGGTGAAGTCCCATAAACTGAAAGGTCACGGTTTTGATCCCTGGTCAGGGCACATGGGTAGGTTCCAGGTTCGATCCCCAGTCCAGGTGTGCATGAGAGACAACCAGTTGATGTCTTCTCCCTCTCCCCCCCTTCCCTTCCCCTCTCTCTAAATGAATAAGCATGTCCTTAACAGACACTTCTCTAAGGAGGACATACAGATGGCCCATAGACATATGCAAACATGCTCAACATCACTAGCCATCAGAGAGATGCAAGTTAAAACCACAATGAGGTACCACTTCACACCTATCAGAATGGCCATCATTAACAAATCAACAAACAACAAATGCTGGGGAGGATGTGGAGAAAAGGGAACCCTAGTGCACTACTGGTGGGAATGCAGACTGGTGCAGCCACTGTGGAAAACAGTGTGGGATCTCCTAAAAAAATTAAAAATGGGTCTGCCCTTTGACTCAATGATTCCACTGCTGGGAATATACCCTAAGAATCCCGAAACACTGATTCAAAAGAACTTATGCACCCCAATGTTCAAGGTAGTATTATTTACAATAGCCCAGATTGGAAACAGCCTAATTCCCCTTCAGTAGATGAAAGGATAAAAACCCTGTGGTACATTTACACAATGGATTACTATGTAGCAATAAAAAAGAAAGAATTCTTACCTTTTATGACTGTGTAGATGGAAGTGGAGACTATTATGTTAAGCGAAATAAGCCAGGTGGAAAAAGACAAACACCACATGAGCTTACTTTACTTGTAGGCGGAATCTAAAGAACAAAATAAACTAACGAGCAAAACAGAACCAGAGGCATGGAACAGGCTGACAGCTGCAAGAGGGGAAGAGGAAGGCAGGGACTGATTGAGAGAAGGTTAAGGATTAGTTTCCTTCACCAATATTGATAAACAACTGGGGAGTGTCTGTGGGAGTTGGGGGAGAGCTGAGTGGAAGGAGGCAAAGAGGAAAAAATTTGGACAACTGTAATAACATAAACAAAACATTTTTTAAAAATAGCATACCCTTGGGTGAGGATTAAGAAATAATGATAATATGCCCTGACTGGAATGGTTCAGTGGACTGAGTGCTGGCGTGTGAACCAAAGGGTCACCAGTTCAAATCCTAGTCAGGAAACATGCTTGGTTTGGGGGCCATGTCCCCAGTGGGGGGTGCATGGGAGGCAACCATACATTAATGTTTCTCTCACTCTTTCTCCCTCCTTTACCCTTTCTCTATAGAGACAAATAAAATCTTTAAAATTAACAAATAAATGCAAACACATATAAATATGCAATCAAGTAATAACAGCATACTTTTGACATGAATAAACTTATCAAAAGGTAACAATTCTCCATTACCCAAACTCATAGGGTAATATACATTATTTTAAAAGTTTTATATCTAGTTGTGAAATATGTTTTCTACACCCTTAAATTTCAAAGTTGTATGTGTGATCTTACAAAGTTCAAAATAAAAATTAATAGATACACTCTAATGAATGGACTCAGGAGGAGCTGAAGAACTACTTGGCTCTTACTGGTTTCTTCCTCATTGCGCCATAGGAGGGAAAACACAGTCTAGCACAGTGACACAATTCGCTGGCCTAAAAATATATGCCTTCATTCTTTCTAAGCTTGCTATTGGGAGGAAAATAAATGGTGAAGATTTGGGATTACTGGTGTTTTGTTTCCCGAGTTCAATGTGAAAGAAAGAATAAACTCAGGTCAATGATACAATCATAAGGAAATGGAAAACAGTAATATCCTGAATAACCTACCTAGAGAGACTGAAAAGTACCCAGGGAATGATAAGAGAGGTCAATATATTATACAACTATATTCTAAGATTTAAAGTAACAGTGAGCAAAAGGAAGTTATCCTTTAATCTATAAGAAAGACCAATTTCTATCTCTTTGGGTTCTGGTTCTATCACTTATATGACTTTGGATATAACCATTACTTGGGTCTCAGTTTCCCTCTCTTCTAAATAAGGAAAACACCACTTACCACACAGGAAGGATGTATGATAAAATAAATAATTCACATGAATGGGCTTTCAGTTCTTCAGGAGAAAGCTACGAATCCTTAAGTATGAACCTGAAAAGCTATTAAAAATAAGATGATCATGTCAAAATTAAGTCTGAAACACAACAGCCCAGATTCTACCCAAGTAACAGAATTCATACTACAGCTGTAATGCAAATGTAGTTTGACCAATCAAACAGCATCACTTTAATTAACATTAATACAGCAAAGTAGGTTAAACAGGTAATTTGGCATCATATTAATGTAAAATGATGGTATTTCTCTTGGTGTTAACCATTTAAAAACATATTTGGGGGATAGTTGATCAAAAGGTATATAGTCATGAATAGTAATAACTATGGGGTATTAACAATGACAACTGAATAGGCTTAAACACCTATGTGTACACAGGAGGTTATTTCTGTGGTATATAAAGTTTTGAAGTCTGCTGAAATTAAAGTAATAGGTGGCATTACCTAATCCTTATTGAACAATATATACAAGTCTTTATGCTAAGCACCAGAAATACAAAACAGTGTTAGGTTTAAAATACCCTACAACTAGACAACACGCTATGGCCCAATAGTGGAGAGGACAAGAAATTACTACTATATATTAATTAAGGACTAACGGATACACTCAGTTCTATAAGAATGAAGTAGGGATTGGATGATATAACGAAAGGGAAAAAGAAAAGGAATCCCGGGAGATCACTTTAAATTAGAATTTATAGCAGCTTATATTTTCTTATACAGTGGCCACCACATCTGACTGGAGGTTTATGGAAACCTTGGGAGGCAGGGAGGAAGAGCTGACACTCAAAAGAGATTAGACAGCAGGCCTAAGATCACAGGTCAGGAGGTGGCAGAGCCAGAGCCAAGCCAGTGTGCCAACTCTGTTCAGAGCTCACTCTACTACGTTAAATGATCAATACTACAGTGAGAACTAGAAAGGAGCTCAGAAATCTTCTAATGCAGTGTGTTTCCTTAGCCAATGTGATAAAAAATTTTCTGGGACATGCATTAAAAACAGAGATTCTCAGACCCCACTACAGACCTACTGAATGATAACCTCCAGGAAAGAGGTTTTGTATTTTCACAAGAACTCTTAAGAGGTGACTAGAGAGACTAGCTGCGCTTGGAAAATACTGTTGCATACCTCTGTGTCCAACATAGTAGATGTGTGGCTATTTAAATTGACATTGACCACATCAATAAAATAGAAAATTTGGTTCTTCAGTTGCATAACTATCTTCTAAGTTCTCAATAGTCGCATGTGGCTAGCAATTACCATACAGGGTACCACATATACAGGGCATTTCCATTACTGCAGAAAGTCCTACTTGACAATGCTGATTCTAGACCAACCCTTCAACTGTGAGGCTAAGAAAACCGAGGCACAGAACTTCTCCAGGAAGCGCTGGTCAGTGGCCTAACTGAAACTCAAACCTACTCTGCCAATGCCCCTTCTATTATATCATTCCACCCCACCTCTAATTCAGAGTGTATTCAAATAGAATAATTTTCTTTCCACTCTTTCTCATGGATTCCAGCAAAGCAAGAAGAGAAATTCTAAATTTATGGGGAAAAAGTAATTCTTAAAAAAAAAAAAGTTCATTAAAAAAATCACAATAAAATCTAAACCAAACAGCAATCTTCGTGTAAAACTAAAAATTTGGACAGTTAAAATATGTCCTAATGTTACAGGGCGTATTCTAGCTTGTTTTAACTATTTTAAGTCCTTCCTCTTCTACTGTCCTGGTGGTTTTTATCTTTCTTGGATTTGAAATCCTGAAACTAATGATACATTTCAATGATAATTGTATCAACTATAATTGCCTTAAAATTATAAATGTGAAACGGTCAAATCTTATCTAGCAAACATTTCAGAGATGAAAAATTGAGAAATAAGGAGCAATGAGAAGAACAGTGACTTGACTAATTTTAGAATGTGGTCACTCAAACCACTGAGCACTCGTGGTTTATAGTATTATACCTTAATACATTGTTTTCACTTCTAAGCTATACTTTTACATTTGACTACTACATCATGTTTTAAAACAAGTTAAATGATTTTAACTTCCAATGTGACTGAGGGACTAGAAGCACTTGAACATTTACTAAGGTTCAGGCACTAATTAGGTTAACATATAGCCAGCCATAAAAAAGATAGCAATGTCTTTAAAATAAAACCAGTTGTTCCTGTCTAGTGTGTTTAGAATGCAAATGGCTCCAAAGCCAGTCAACTCAAGTCAGGACAGTTCACATTTGAAGCAAGCAGGAAATAACTTGGAGTTCTGTATTATAGTATTTAAAACTTTAAAGACAGAATTACACAGCTCTCTTAACTCTTTTTAGTATCTAGTATCCATTTCCATGTTAAATTCTAGTGACTAAATTTAGAGGAAATTCTGTATGTCCAAGTTTGTATAAAATTAAAAATTAAATGGTTAAAAAACATGCCCCAAATAAGATACTTATAAACTGATACTTATTTAAGACATTTTTGCCATAATTTGCAAGGCATCCAGAAGCCTGAGATGGGGTCCTACATAAATAGAAGCAATTTGTTATTGAGAGGAGGTGGTGCAAAAAGACTGCTATTTTCTTTCTAAACACTCTTTGGTATTGGGGTAAACAAACTAAAAAACATACAGTCTGAGCACACTAGAGCAGAGCAAAAGGGGGAGAGAAAAAATGTCTGTGCTCTAACATTTTAAGAAGGGACTAAGAGTATAAAATGAAATTTATTCTCTGGCTTTCAGACCAGACTTATTACTTCTACATTTGATCTGTTATGTCTTTACTCCCACTTTACCATATTAGGATAAGGAAATCATGTGCCCTCAAGACTTAAGCCAACAAAACTACTTTTGGTGGCAGTATAGCTCACCAAATGAAGAACATGAGAAAAATGCTAAGTGACAGACAATAATAGAAATTGAACTCTCAACTATCAAAGTGCTCAATACTGGCGCATGCTAATGTAAAGAGCATTAAAAATAACACAAACTCTAAGCAAATATCAAAGTGTGGCAAAAGTTTCTAATCTCATAAAAAAGTGAAAAAAAAAAGCATAAAAAATGAAAATATTGTGTAGGAGGGGCCCTGGGAAGGAAGAGCAGCTTGAAAGGAACACCCGGGTCAAAAGGAGGGGAGGAAAGGGTTCTTTTGGTCACCCCTCTACCAGGGGATGCTTCTAACAGCTTCAGTGCTATTCCCAAGAGGCAATTTTAAGCATCCTTAGGGAAGGCGATTTAGGCAACAAGCTTTCAGACAGGAGAACGAGAGAGATGATGCTAAAATTTCTAACTTCAAAAAGAGGCCCCGGTGAGAGAAAACAGCCGCGAAATTCCCAGACTGCAACTCCCAGCCTTCCTGAAGAAAAAGAACCATTCTCAGGCATATAAACCAGCGCTTCTGAAACTGACCCAGCCGAGTTTTCTCAGCTGGCCCTCACTATCTCTCAAACCCTCCTCCCTCCACTTCCCTGCTGTTCTTTCCTGGCACACAAAATATAGGCCAATGAGCGGTGGGTGGGTGAGGAGGATGTGAGAGAAAATTTGAGAAGTAAAAAAAGGGAGCAACTTAACAAGGACATGAATGAGACGACAGGGTCTATTAAGGGCAGGCAACAACCAGAACTGCTAAAAAACGGAACGGGCTTTCCTGGGCAGCAGCGAACGCTCCGAGTTTGTAGGGGTTTAAGCAGAGACCAGACTACCTACCACTTGTCAGAGAGGCTGCGGAGGGGACGGCTGCTTTGGGTGACCTCTAATGTCTCTTCCGACTCTGAAAGGTTAGGATTCTTATTTCACAAAAGAGAACGCAAAGGTCAGAGAAGCCCACCGACTAGAACCCTTTTAAACGAAAGCAGTCTCAGCGGCTGCTTCCCAAACACCACTCCCACCTCTCCCTCCCACACGTGCCCACCCCGCCCCCTTTCAATATTTCCACCTCCACGTGCGAAATGCCTCGCGGCACTCGCCCCAAAGGGCAGAGGCGCCCTGCCCAGCAAACCACCTCAGCTGTGCCCCCCTGGGGCAAGTGAGGACTCCTCTCCCACCCTAGGCGGCCGAAAAAGTGAAAGTCTCAAATGCAGCCTCACCCTCACATCCCCCAGCCAGAGCTGAAGGGGGAGGGGGCGGGACAGAGGAAAACTTTCTTCTACATTTTTTCTTTCAGAAAGTGTATATAGAGTGTAGAGAGAACCCCGAAGAGTTCGGGGCTGAGGGGGAGGGGGGAGGGGAACCCCCGGAATCGTTTAACGGCCGGTAGGGGGAGGGGAGCTCCGGAGGTTGAGGGGGCGTGGGATGGAGAAGCAGGCCTGGGAGCCGGGTCAAGTAGCTGAAGGGGCTCCTGGGGTCGGGGAGCTGCAGGCGTCCCCCCCACCTGGCACACAAAGCGACTGCCGCGCTCGGCTCTCACCAGATCCTTTGTGCTTTCCATCAGGGCCTCATGGGTAGGGGTTGTCCGTGCTCCCCGGGCCCGCGGCGCCCCCTCCCCGAGCTGGGGGCAGGCGCCTCTCCCCGGGGCTACGGCGACTACAGGGGTGCCCAGGCTGGGCCCACACCGGTGGCGGCTGCGGCAGCCCCCGGATTTCCCCCCCTTTAACTAGGGTGGCCCCAGGATATCAACAACATTAGCATAGCCCTCCCTCCCAGCGCGCCTGCGCCGTGACCCGCGCCCCGATTGGCCCACTTCCCTACATACCCTCCTCGCTCTCTTCCAGCGTGGGACCCTCTGCAGGCTCCGTACTCCAAGGGCCGTACCAAAACGAAGGGGTGGAAAATGCAATAGGGGCTCGAGTTAAGTAGAGTGGTTAAAAAGTCGTGAGGAAGAGTAAAAGTTTCATTCAGCCATCTCAGTTTATACTGCGGCTTTGTCGTACTCCTTTCAATCAGTTGCAACTGCTGAGTTGTGTTGGAAAAAATTTTCCACTCCAGTCACGCCGCCTCCCCCTCCACCCGGAAGATTGGTCCTCCCGGAGGAACTCCCCTACGGGGAGGGGTTGCTGCGGGGGAGTGGGCGTTACGTAGGGCAAGAGTGTTGGTCACGTGCTAGTAGGCTGCGCAGACTCCTTCCAAACCCCCCCCCCCCCCCACGCCTCAGCGGCTGCCGAGAATACTGTGACTCGGCGCACGCGCACTGAGGATCCACGTGAGCGCCTGCGTTTCCTAAAGCCAACGATGCCGCCAGAACGAAGGAGCCGAACAAGATCGGACCGGGGAACCGGAGCGAGGCCAAATCGGAAGACCGGAGTGAAGGCGGGCAGGACAGTCCGAGCGGGGCCGGGCGGACCGCCCCGAAAGGCTGCTTATTCATCCCAGCGGAAACTGCGGGCCCGGCCGAGAGCAGCGGCCGCTGCGATCGCAGTCGCAGCAGAGGAGGAGAGACGGCTCAGGCAGCGGAACCGTCTGGCGCTGGAGGAGGACAAGCCGGCAGTGGAGCGGTGCCTGGAGGAGCTGGTGTTCGGCGACGTCGAGGACAACGAGGATGCGCTCCTGCAGCGTTTGCGAGGCCCGCGGGTGAGGGAGGCCGTGGAGCCCGTACCGAGCGCGCTTGGCTGGGCGCGGGGTGGGCGGTGATCTGGAGGCGGAGCCTGGGCGACCTGAGGCGCCGGCGAGCACCCAGGTGGGAGGGAGCGGGAGAACCCGGGCGCCGAGAGGGCTAAGCGATCTGGAGAGGGCGGAGACCGCGCCTTTCCCCGCCCTTTTGGGAGCGGCTGTGCTTAGTGTCCGGCAGGCGCTTAGCATGTTCTGTCGAGTGAACTGTAGTCAGGAGCATCTTTGATTGTAGTTAGCGGTGCTCAGCCCCTCTATCCTCAGACTCATTGGTTCTCTCGTGGTCGTTCGATTCCTTGCCTTAATACGTCGTGGTGATTCAGGAATTCCACTTCATTTGTGGAATCAGAATTCGTGAGCCCGGGCCTGGGAGTCTGCGTTTTAACATCTCTCCAAGTGAATGACTCTCCAGCTTTGAGAAGGACTACATATTCGTTTATTCAACAAATACTTGTGAGCCTGTTGGGTGCCAGATGTATTTCTTGGCAATGGAACTGTGCATGATTATAGTTTTAGCACACTTTTTAAAAATCATCCCTTTTATTACATACCTGCCCCTCCCCCCGAAGATTGGGAGCCCCAGGCATTGTTCTAAGCACTGGAGGAGCAACAGCATTGGGAAAAAAAAAAACCGGGCAAAAACTCCTGCCCTTTTGGAGCTTGTATACAAGTGGCAGAGGCAGAAGGTAAAGGAGATAAACGCTGCTGTAAAATTCACAATAAGTGCTGAAGAGAAAAATAAAAGCGTTTGGATGGGAAGATAAGTATATGTAGAGAAGGCCTGTGAAATTTTACGTAAGGTCGCCGAGCAAAGCCTCACTGATAATTGCGATTTGATAAACAAACATGGACCTAGCAAGTTATCAACTAATTGCCAAAAACTCATATGGTTGCTTATAGGAGTAGCTGCAGAAAGCTGGTAGGTGTATGGAGAACTACTACTGGAAAAAGGTCGAACTGGGTGACTGTTTCCTGGTCAGGAGGAGAAACAGTCTCTGTTAGATTTTCTGGGCTTTGAAGGATCCCAGGCTGGTGACAGCCAATAGAAATCCTTTGTTCGTCTCTATCAGTGTGGTTTGGTGAAAACACGAGCTCACTTCAGGGGATACTATGTGGTCGAGACTTAAATTTGATAGCCCAGTATAACATTTTCTTTTCCTTTTTTAAATTGTGCGGTTGACAGTTGTCCCCATTTCAGTAAGACATTTACGAAGGTAGGGGGTCAGGAATGACAAAAATGGAGAAGGAGGTATGTCTAAGGATTTGAAATGTGCATTAACTGACACTCAGTCATTTGACTTTATCTTTGATGCTACGCTCCTTCTGGTCCCGTGACTTCTGTAGTTCTGGGATTTTTCCTGCTCCTTTCTCCATCTGTCAGTTTATCTCTTGTTGTCCTTGTCTCACTTGGTCTTTTCCCTTCATCACGTTGATGTTGTCTCCTTGCCTGTTCCATCTTACCTCACGTGTCCAGTGTGTGGTACCATTCCCTTACGTCCTCACTTTTTATTCTTCCTCTGGCATTGGCTGTGGTAGCGTTCCATCCTGTTGTTTCATCAGAGGGCCTGCAAGGCCAAGCATTCCACAAGCCATCTCACTTCATGTGCTTGGGAGCCTCCCTGGGGTATGAAGAACTCAGTGCTTGAGGGCATTTCGTCTTCTCTAGGTTCCAGTGCAGGGGGACTCCGGTGACTCGGAAGTGGAGAATGAGGCCAAAGGTAATTTGCCACCTCGGAAGAAGCCAGTTTGGGTGGATGAAGAAGATGAAGATGAGGAAATGTAAGTTGCCAAATTTTTCTTCCAGAATCCGTCTGCATACTTTAAAAGTTATGTACAGGTTTGGAAAAAAGTTCTCTTTATGAAATGTGATTGTGAGAAGATTTGAGAAATGCTGGAAAGTACTGGGAGGAAAAGGTCGTTCATAATCCTGCCGCAGAGGTAGGATCACCATCAACACGTTCGCATACCACCCTCCCTTTCTCTTCTCTTCAGTGTTGTCTGGGCCTGCGTTTGCCTTCTAATCTGGCCAGTTCCTAACTGACCGTGGGCAAGCTTGGGACTGCCTTTCCTCGTTTGTAAATGGAGTTGATGACAGTAACTGTTGGGTTGGCCAAAAAGTCCATATGGTTTTTTTCCGTAAAATAAAAGACACATTTTTCATTTTTACCAATAACTTTATTGATTTAAATATCTTGAGTATGTCGACTGTCTCCCGTGGGTATAATGTTGATTGTTCTCAATGTCTTGATTTGGTCACTGTCAACTTTGATTGGTTTACCTGACCTTGGAGCATCGTCCAGTGAGAAATCTCCAGCACAAAACTTGACAAGCCACTTGTAACACATTGGATCAATCATTGTACCTTCTCCACACATTGCACAAATCTTTGGCATTTCAGTTGTGTTTTTACCTTTCTTGAAATAATAAAGCATAATATGCTGAAAATATCACTTATTTTCTTCCATCTTCAGTGTTAAAGTGGCTACACAAAAATTTACCAGTTTTGCTAAGTTTGTTTTTAAATACATGCTGATATGACAGCTGTCACAATACAATCTAACAGAATCATTTGAAATGATGTTAAAGACAACTAAGTGCTACTAGAGCCACCTTAGGAAAAATAACAAATGAAATTTTGGCCAACCCACTATATCAGAAGGCTTTTGAGATAAAATGAAATAGTGTATGTAGAACTCTTAGCACAATGCCTGAAACTGAGAAAAGGCTGGAAAAAAGCACACAATATGTGCTTCAGTAGATGAGAATGACTGTACTGCAAGCATAGCTCCCCACTTCAAAAAAGAAAAACATCTTCATAAACGTTTTTTAAGGGGTGTATTATGTAGTCCATTGTATGAATTGATCATAATTTCCACAGCTATTATTGGATGGGTAGTTTTTGTTTTTGTTTTTTTAATTTTTCTCTTTAACAAGTTAATGTTGACATACATATCTGTGTAAATATTGTCTCACTTTTCTAATTACTTCTTTAAGAAAGATTCTCTGAGGTAGAACTGCTTATTCAAGAAGCACAGACATTTTTAAGGTTCTTGATAGATACTGCCAGACTGAGCATGAAGTTCTACCAACTTACTGTCCTGTTGAGAAGTGCCCATCGCATTCCATTTTTATAAGAAGTGATTTATCTTTTTTCAGACTCTGTCAGTTTAACGGATGGGAAGTACTACTTGTGTTGAGACAACATTTTTGTTGTTAGTCACCAGTATTTCTTAAAAACATTCTCCCATTATGTCTTTGTTTATTTGTCTCCTGGAGACTTTGTTTTTTAGTAAGAACTGTATATATTTAAGGTGTATGACGTGATGTTTTGATATACATAGTAAAATGATTACAAATCAAGCTAATGAACGTAGCTGTCTTCTCACACAGTTCCCCCCCTTTTTTGTTTTTGTGGCGAGAGCACCTGAAATCTCCTGTTAGTGAATTTCGAGTGTACAATGCAGTGTCACTGAGTGTAGTCAGCGTGCTGTGCAGTAGCTCTCTGGACTGACTCGTCCTGCATAGTTGGAGTTTTGACCAACTTCTCCCCACTTCCCTTAACACCACCATTCTTCTCTGCTTCTCTGTGTTCTCCTCTTTTTAGATTCCACGTATAAGGAGATTATTCAGTATCTTTTTCCTATTTGTTTTATTTCACTTAGCATAATGTCCCCCAGCTTTATTCACGTTGTCACAAATGGCAGGATGAGACTGTTCCTTAATGATATCGCTATATTAGCTCCTTACATATTGAGAATTTCAAACCTATATATGTTACATTTCTGTAGATTTTTCTCTGAGTTTTCTGTTTGCCTTTTAAGTTTGTTTTTAGTGTTGTCTGACAGAATATTTAATTTTTTATAGTCAAATCTATTAATCTTTTTCTTAGGTTTTTTGTTTTTAAAAAGTCCATCAGAGAGAGATAAATGTTTGCCTATGTTTTTCCTTCATAGTATTATTTTAAGGTTTGTTTTTTATATATTTGATTTTTTTTGTTTTACCTGGAATTTATTTAGGTGAATGGCATAAGCTGTGTCTAAGTTTTTGTGAATTTCAACTGTTAGTTCTTACGGGGTAAATTGGATGATCTGAAATATCGGAGAGTCCTTTATGTGTTGG